TTGTTAATCTATCAGTAGGTTACTAGAAGCAAGGCGATGGGGCGACAGCCCCGTGTGAATGCGAGGTAGTGAGGAGAAATGAGGATAATTCGAAACTGTAATAGTCTTTCACGCTGTACCTGCTACCTTATTGTAGATTTTTTTTTTAAAATTATTATCTCCGGCTAATACATCCTCAGGCAATGGAGTGTTGAGGAAAATTTAATAGCAACTTGGCCAGTTATATGCTGGAAATATGTTGACATGCAACTGAGGTCGCAACGTATCGTAGCCAACCAGTGAAACTGTCTCCACTATGTTAGTTGATTTATCTGTAGTTCAGTGACTACCTGGTTCTACTTTTCTTGCTGTGGCATGATTTTACAATGCCTGGTTCTTTATACGGTGTTATCGGTGAAAGAATATCTGTAACTTTGAATTGGAACATTAGTCACACGTAACAAGTAATGGCTGTCTTTAAATTGTGATAATTATGATGTGCTTCCTAATTATGCTGATTATAAATTATCACCATTATCAACATTTTTGATCCACTGCTGGATGAAGGACTCATCAAGACTTCGCTGTAAACTTCTGTTTTCTAGTGTTTTCATCCATGTTGATACAACGAACTTCTTCGCCTAATCTTGACATCGGTCTGGAGGTCTTCCTATGGACAGTATACACTTTCTTGGAGCCCATTCTAATGTCTCTTTGCTCCAACGATGGTCAGTTCTTTTTGCAACGTGACCTTCATATTTCCGCTGTAACTTCTTCTCTCGGACCATGATATGGCAGTGCTTCCTGCCCATTCGTTCGCTTTCATATCTTTTCTTTTCATTACCAATGTTTTTGTTTCTGTCCTATGTTGCGAAGTCTGCAGACTGTGAATAGCTTCCAAACTTAGAGTTCACGTTTTGCACCCATTGGTTAGAATTGGCATCACACACTCATCGCCAGCTTCCTTTTCAGGTATAAGGACAGTTTCCAAGATCTCATTTTCTGTCTTCCAGAAGTGCTGCATGCTATTTTTATTTCTCTGCTGACTTTGCACAGTCGGTTGTCCCTTCAGCAAATGAGCTGTCCGAGAAAGGCGTACGTCTTCAAATCTAAGCCCGTAAACTTCAACAAACCTCGTCATGACGTATTCCTTAAATTTTACCCGAGTTTAGGTCTTCTTCAGGTTCATTTTCAGTCCTATTTGATGTTAGCATCTTTCAGCTTATGGATATTTTTTCAAGTTCATTGACCGACTTGTGAAGATCACAATATCACATGCAAATCGCAGATGGTTAAGTTCTGCTCATTTATGATCAGCCCTTGATTTTCTGGAAGGAAGCCTCTTTTAAGGTTGTTGTGAATAACTTCAGTGATATAGCTTCTCCCTCTTGAATGCTCTGTATGATTTTGAACTTGCTTGAACTTTCTGAAGCTTCACAGTAGCAGCTGGATTTTTGTAAATCATGGCCATGAGGTCTCGGTGTTTCTTTTTGATTCTCTGTCTCTTCAAGGAATCCACTACGGAACGGATATACACTAATCGAAGACATTCTCGAAATCAACAAGCTGCAGGTCGAGACGAAGTTGATATTCATTGCTTGTCGGAATTACTTGCTGTGTTACCTGGACATGATCGATCTTACTAAATTCTCTTTTGAATCCTTCTTGTTCCTTTGGCTGTGCACTGTCCAGTTTTTCGTGTAAATCTTACAAACCACTCGTAAAATACTGGTCCGCATTTTTGGTTCTTCGAATTCTGTCTATGTCCATTTTGGTGGAGTTCATTTATCAGTGTGATAGTCCAGTCCTGGTAATATTATGATCACTATATCAACTCGTGCTTTGTTATCACCTAGGCTTTTTTCCTATTTTCATCACTACTGCAATGTTTAATAGAAATCTTCAGTTCTCTTTATAATGTCTTGACGATAGTCCTGTACTTTGCATTCACAGCTTAAATTTATTATTTCCTAACCGTTAATCATCGATTTAATTTCTTCACGCTTTCATTGTTTTCAATACTTGCCTTTACCAGCCGTGCAGCTGAATGCTCGAATGTCTTCTTTTATACAACTCGTTAAAGTTCTGCAAACTTCCTCCTACTCGATCTATAGTTTTTGACTTGTTGTGTCCTCATTTCTCTTCGTTTCTTCATTAGTTGTTCTTCCGTTCTTTCATAAGCTTTTTGGTCCATTTTTTCATGGTCTCATTGTTCCATAGACATTCTCCATGTTTTCCTCCGTTTTTCTGTAACTATCTTCGCTGTATTTATAGTGCCTGTTTCAATTATTTATTTTTATTCCTGCGTATGCGATTTGTGGAAGAAGAACAGTTATAAAATATACATCACACTCATCTATATAGCTTAATCATTATGACCTTTTTTGGCAACATATACGCTTGTATAGTTTTTATAAAAGATTTAAAACAATTATAAACTGACTGTTCAACAACTACCACTTATGTATAAAATTTATTTTGCTTTCCATGGTGTTGAAGATTATTTCTACGCTCTGACAGAGATATGTCATCTGTCAGCAAAGTAAAGGATTTTTAAATAGCATACTAATCACCAGAAACTTGGAGGGTCGGAGGCGATATGGTCATCTGGTAGAATTGTGGGGACGATCTGTTCGCGTAGATCTATCGATGATCTGCAGTGAACATTTTTTAGGAATACACGCCGCATTAGAGATGTAGATACATGATTATTTCGCTGGCTCACAAGATTAAAAAAGTTTTACAGTCGCTCGAGCACATCTGCCATTATATTTTTTTTAAATTAAACATTATTAAATTTTTGCTTTACTCCTTCTGCTGGCTTTTAGGCCTCAGAGGTGCTGCCGCCGTGAAGCATACGCATTGAAAAGTGTCACTGTGTGTTCCACAAGCTCTGGTATTACTTTCGTTTTTACCACGACACTGCCGAATCCCCATTGGCCCGTTTCTCGGCTGGTTGTAGCCGAGTTCAGCACAACGAACTTTTTTCTTCCTGAAATACTAGGAGTTAGCAGTTGGTCTGGTTCATCGATTGATAGCGGTTCCGTTACATAAGAAAGACTCGTTCGAATAGCGGTCAAGCCATTCCCTTTTCATCCTTACTTAAGGCAAATTCATCTAAGGTAAATGGAGGATTGCTCTGTGTATTGAAACAATACGTCAGAATACATCTTGTTATGGGTGGTACATGACGGACCGTATTGTTGTAAAGAAAGCACTTTTACTGAACGCGTTGAACTAGATATCTCCCCTTCATGATGATTTTTTTTAAAAAAGTCTTACTCACGGATTGAAAGTTGGTTGGTGTGGAGTTTCTAGAACACCCTTGTCAGTTTAAAAACAGAATTTTGCAAGCATTATCCCGCCAAACTTCCGTTCCTCTCGCCAACGTGTCGTCATTCTCTGTTCAGAAGATGGGTATAGAGAAGAATATCATATACTTAGATATCAGTATCATGGATACCCCCTCGACTGGAAGCCGGAGTGTGCTTCTTTCTGCCCAATTTACCTTAACAGCATAAAGAATTTTGTTCCCTCCAGTTTGAAGCAACCGGTTAAGCAGTGTTTCACGGTACATGACAGACCTTCATATCTTCTGTAGCAGCTTAGCAATATACAGTCACCCTATCTCTCCATGTCATCCTATTCCGTGGTTTGTTCTTTTTGCGCTGAGAACGTATTGTACAGAACGTATTGCTTTAAAGGTGAATATTACAGATCCTG